TTGCATGGAAATCCTTTGAACAATTGTGAGGTGGCATCCAAGAGTCAACTCCTCTTCTTGGGTTGGGCTTGGGCCGAGAATTAGAGAAAATAGAAGAGAGTTTTGGTCCTTTTTGCTTAAATCCATATTGTGGGCCCAATTTGATGATTTTTCGGCCCATTTGGCTCCCATGATGGTTTACGGCCCAATTTGTCAAAAGTAATTGGCTTCATAGTCCATTAAAGTTAATTAGATTAATTATGGCCCAATAAGGTCCATTAGGGTATTTTATTTCATTCTAGGCCCAACATGTCCCAAAATGTTAAAATAAATGGAAGTGGGTCCAATTTGAGCCCATTTAAGAGTTCTAAGCCCAAAATAGTCAAATTGGAAGCTTATTGGCCCATTAGGCCCAATAAGGAAATCCTAGTCCATAATGGACTTAAACCGGGATTTCTAGGGTTTCCAATTCTTTGTTGACTATTTGAAGTGCTTGCATAGAGCATTTGATGGACAATTTGTTGTTATTGAATAAGCATCATATGTGCTTCCACATTTTTGGTTCATAATTGTTATCATTGTTGTTGTTACATGGTATAGAATTCCTAGTTGTGACAAATTTTGTATTCTAATAAGCAAAGTAGTTGAGTATATAATAAACACTAAGGTTTAGAAATCAAACTGGAAAACTATTCCAGTTTTTTGTTATATCCATTTATAATGTAAGTTAGTGATAGATTGATGCATGAATCATTTTCTAATCTAAAATGATATCAAGCAACACTAATAAGCTTTAGTTTCACTTCATTTGTCAAATTGTTTAGTAAAAAAAATTATTTAACTAAACCTAACTTTACTAAATTAACATAAACAAGCTCTTAGATTAATTTTAAATATTGTATTACGTTCTTTACAAGTATTCCAAAACAATATTCATTACTTCTCATTGGTTCATAAGTGTAACACCCCAAAGTTTGGAGACCCAAGAAGAGAAAGAAAACCTCAAGTTTAGGGGAGACTCGGCGAGTCCATGGAGGGACTCGGCGAGTCCGAGCGGGATCCGGGTTGTGGTGAAAGCGACCGACTCAGCGAGTCGGCTAAGGAGACTCGACGAGTTGGGTCTGAACGAGGAAAACCCTAAATCCGGGAACTTGGAGCCTATTTAAGCGTCTCATTCTCCTTCCTAGGGTTCCTTTACTGCCTCTTTACCCCAGAACACCAAACCCTAGCCGCCATATCTGTTTTTGAGCTAGATCTTGCCTAGAAGAATGCACTAAAGCTTGGAGAAGGAAGAAAAGCCTTGGAGGTGCAAGAAGGGACTGTAGATCCGAGATTGAGAAGACATTTCAGACCAGTTGGAGGTAATAAGTTGTTGCTTGGACTCCCTTTGCACCTAGATCTATTCTTATATGTGAGTTTCGGTCATTTTTAGTATGATATGTAACCAATCCGAGTTGGAGGTTCAGATCTGAGGTTGCTACCTCAGATCCATGTTTGTTTTGGTCTTGAATCCCCTAAAGTATCAGCCCTTGGTATGTTGAAGAAGTATGTTTGCCATAAACCCGAATTTAGGGTGTTTTGAGCCTAGATCTCTTAATCTACACGTAAAGTTTGCCACTTTACGTGGGGAATAGTCCCTAGAAGTATGGATCTATGAGTTGGAAACTCTGTTTGGCTCGAAAAGCCACTGCATGGATTGAGGACTGGATAGACTCGGCGAGTCCTTCGAGTGGACTCGGCGAGTAGCTTGAAGATGAGGAGGAACTCGATGAGTAGGATGAACAACTCGTCGAGTCGGATGAAGTTAGGCATGGACTCGGCTAGTTGGATGAACAACCTGACGAGTTGGTTGAAGATTGTCTAGGACTCGGCGAGTCTGTTCTTGGACTCGGCGAGTCAGATCGCGAAACCCTAAACCCTTCGAGTTGAGACTCGAATCAGTGAGTCGGGTGGTGACTCAGCGAGTTGGACATGACAGGACTTGGACCTAGTTAGACTCGGCGAGTCATGGATTGACTCGGCGAGTCGAGTCGCGAATAAGAAAGACCCAGAGCATATGAACTCGGCGAGTCAGTAGATAGACTCGGCGAGTAGGGTTGACCCAGAAGGTTGACTTTGACCAGGATTTTGACCTTGACCAGAATTGACCTAGTGACCTTTGGAGGTCAGTTGGACTAAGTGTTATATTGATATTGGTAGCTTGAGGAGCTAGTGGAGCAGCAGTCGAAGTCAGAGGTCAGGTAGCAGTCAAAAGGATTAGCAGCAGCAGTTCAGCTGCATCAGGTGCGTTTCCTTCTAGTAGGGACAGGTCTAAGGCCACAATACCGGCCCGTTCAGTTAGCAGTAGTTTCCGGACTTCGGTCCGATGCAGTAGTTAGTAAGTTTGATGCCTTCGTGGCTCAGACAGGATTTATGTGCTATGTTTTATGTGTTATGTGTTATGTGTTCCGGGCTACGGCCCGATGTAGTATGCAGTATATGTGTTCATGCTAGTTGATATGTTATGCTATGCTATGTTCAGTCAGTTAGTCCGGACTTCGGTCCGATGCAGGGGACAAGGTCCCAGTCAGTTTCCGGACTTCAGTCCGATGTAGGGGGCAAGGCCCCAGTTAGTCCGGACTTCGGTCCGATGCAGGGGACAAGGTCCCAGTCAGTTTCCGAACTTCGGTCCGATGTAAGGGGCAAGGCGCCAGTTAGTCCGGACCTCGGTCCGATGCAGGGGACAAGGTCCCAGTCAGTTCTGGGCTTCGGTCCGATGCAGTTAGTTCCGGACTTTGGTCCGATGCAGGGGACAAGGTCCCAGTCAGTTCCGGACTCCGGTCTGATGCAGTTTCCGGGCTTCGTCCCGATGCAGTGGGCAAGGCCCAATATGTGTTTATATGTTATTGTATGGTATGTGGTAGTTTGGGGGAGCTCACTAAGCTTCGTGCTTACGGTTTTTCAGTTTTGGTTTCAGGTACTCAGTTTTCAAAAGAGGAGCTCGGGGAGATTGCAGTGCACACACCATAGTCAGTTAGCCTGGGAATGTTTGACTCTGATAATGATATTATGTTTTGAATTAATACTCGAGAATTTATGTTATGACTTATGATACAGTTTTTATAATTATGATTCTAGTAATGCTTTTAAAGAATTTTTTTTGGTCGTGATTTTTGGGTCGTTTCAATAAGTTTGAAAACATGTGATATCAAGTTTACAACGAAATTATATCCAAAAGCACAAACAACTCATTGCTTGTTACTAAATTTTAATTCATAAGACAGTCACAACTTTTAAAAATAAAATAACTATATGAGAACTAACCTAACTCAAGTGGCAAGCATGAACCAAGTAAAAATTCAAGAGTACAAATCAAACAATACAAGATTCACTAGTTTAGAAACGAATCAAAAATCAATCCAATGAAATTAACTACGCATAGATGAACGTTAAAGTTGAAACCAGAAAATAGAGTTTATAGTTGTTCATGGCTAAAACGGAACAATCAAAAGTAAAATTGAATGAATGTAATGTGTTAATTTAATTAACAAAATATACCAAAATGATGTTTCAAATGAGACCTTCAACCTTTTCTTCTCCTAAATCGCTTTGCTTGGTCATAATGTCGAGATTACTTGGGCAAAAAGTCAATTGGTTTGTAGATATGACCTAAGGAAGTATTTAAAGGCTAAAAGTTCTCTAACGACTAGCGATGTTGACTCGACCGAGTCAACATATAGGGTAAAATTGACTAGAGCAGGTCAAACATCTTATATCTTAATCTACAATTTTCCAAAATGACTTAACTGAATCAGCCCATAGAGTAAAGGATAATGATTGAGTAACTTCTGCCCGGACAAGTCTTTTCTAAAATTTCAAAAAAAAAAAAAAATTCTAGTTCGATTTTCCCAAAACTTGCACCGAAACTCCTAACATCATCCTAAGCACGATGCAATCTCCAAATACCCTTAAAACATCCAAAATTTGTGCAAAGAACAAGATTTCACGAATCCACATAAAATGTCCCAAAATTGACAAAATGCATGAAACATAACACTAAAATGCAACATAAATTTATAAAGCGCACATGCCAAATGATGCATAAAATGCAGCTAACACTTGTCTAACACTAAGGACCGGTTAGCTCGAAGGTTCAATAAGACCGACTTAACGAGTCAACAACAACAACCAGTTAACTTGTTAAAAATGAGAGGCTTATTATTAGCTTTTCATATACATTCATCGCAACAATCTAGGCTTTCATATATGTCTGGTTTTTCCTAATAAGTATGTAGGTATGTATGTTCATCTTTGTCATAGGTATGTATGTTCATCTTTGTCATCTAGGTTTTCACGTATGTTAGGTTTTCTATTAGTTATGTATATATGTTCGTTGTAGTCATCCGGATTTCCATATCATTCATACTCTCTGTATATATGTTAGGTTTTTTATTTAGATGCTATGTAGGTTAGGTTTTTTATGTGAATTTGATGTATATAAGTGTATTTGTATTATTTATGATTAACATTGCATGTTAGGTTTCGGTTTTGATTTTGATTGTATGTATGTATGGTAGGTTTTTTTATATTTTATGTTTGCATACATGATATGTTTTATATTCTTATTTTATGTACATAATTACATTTATATTAGGTTACATAGTACATAATGACATTGTTTATCCATACAACAATAATGACAAAAAACAAACCCTTAATAGCTTTTCTCGTACGTAAGGTATCTCAAAGAACATAGGATTTTTTGAGGAAAAAGTTGAATTCAACAATCAACTATTTCCAATTTTCCCTCATTGGTCATGAACGTTGTTTTCGCGCGGGCCTTTCAACATTTTTTTTTTTCTATTTACCTCCTTATAACTAAGTATGGCTTGTTTGTGTAGCTAAAATATTTGTTGTATTCCTAATTTTTTTTGGGTTTATAATGTTTTTTCTTTTTAATACCATTTATTTACGCTTTTTATTATTCTTATATAATATTTATGTGACAATTTAGTAAAGAAATATTTTTACATTGGCTAAAGGGTTGAAACATTTTTTACGGTTTATTTTTATTTATTTAAGTAAATATTATAAATTTGAATAACTTACAAAAAAAAATTAAATAAATATTAAGATCACAAAGAGACTTATTTTAAACTAGGGAAGAGCGGAGTTGGTTAAGCAATTGAGTTGATCCAGATTTTTCATTTCATCCAAAAAAAATCCATTCATCCCTCTTGTATCTTTTGGGTTTCTTCAAGGATGATGAACAGCCTGAAATGTTTATATATATATATATATATATATATATATATATATATATATATATATATATATATATTAAATGTATAATACTTGAAATAACATTGAAAACTCGAAAATTGTCAATATAATCATATTTTTAAGATGGACCTCTTGCAAGCGTGTTAAAAGGCCAAAATTATGAGAATAGTTGCTCATCAATGTTCGTGCTTCTTTATATCTGCAAATAAAAAAGAATTCCAGAAATTTTTTTATGGAAAATATGTTTTTAAGATATAAAATACCAAAATCAGTTATTAGGGTTCCACAAAAACCTTAACAGAAGTCCAAAAAGTAGTTTTTTAAGGGTAGAAGGGCAATTCCCAAACATAAACTGTTGGCCCATATAAAATGGCTACAAATTTTGGACTTATTTTGGACTTAACTTGTAACCTTGATTACCTTGACTAGATCACAGGGATTATATCCACTGTAAAAAGCAAATTTTAGAAAAATAAAATCCAAAATTTGGAATTTTAAGGAAAACACAATGATGAAATTTGTAATTTGCTATTATTATATTGAAATTTTGGTTGGTTGTAACTTGTATGTAAAATTTGTGAAGTAAATAATTTGGAGAAATAAAAAATTAGATAGAAAGAGGATTATACCTATCAAACTGTGCTTGACTTTCACTATAAAGTGAATGTAAGTTTGGGCATGTTTAATCAAATTACATTTTAATAAAGAAATCAACATTGTAAGCTTACACGTTAATTCATTAATTTACCTACAAATATAACAATGAAGTGACTACTTCTCACAAAAAATGAAGTAGTAGAACTGAAAACTTACATTTTGTTCTTGAAATAGGGTGAGCTATGTAAAAACCTCATCCATTTTTTGTTCAGTTGTCTAACCTACAAAGATATTAAAACAACCATTTCAAAAAAGATGCTCACTAACATAGTTTGATCTAAAACCACCATCTAAATACACCCAAAATGGATGTAAACTTGAAAAGTATAAACAAAAAAACAAAGCAACAAAACAAAAATCACCATTCTCTGTGATGTATATGAAACATATAGTTATCTTGATTAAATATTTGTGGATATGAAGGTGCTTACATTTGGAGAGTGGGGGTCCTCGTTGTACTGCTTAAGGGGAGCACTTGGCTGTGGTGTATCTTGTTTGACTTTATTGGAGGAGATGAAGTCTTCTTCATTACGAATGCTATTTCTTGATATCTCTCTCTTGTTTTGTTTCTTCTTCTCCCTGATTTTTTAGAAATCCAAAGAGTAGTCTGGTAATGGTCCCTTATGGTCCCAATCCCCAAATTGTGGCACTGATAACCATGGCGCATTTTTCTACAAACAGATCATTCGCCATACTTCACTAAAAGAATTGTGAAATTAAGTAACCAAATTACTATAAGAGGGATTGATTTCGTACCTTACATGTTTCACATGGTAGCTACTATATATATAGAATGTTACTTGAATACGTAATGAAAATATAGCAAGATATATTTCTATATAGGATCGATCTTCGATGTTCGTCGATTCCGAATTGAACTACATAATCAAAAACAAAAAAATTAATACACGTAGAATTGTGAATCGTAGAGGTTTAGAGTTTAGAGATAGAAGTTGACCCCAACTATCCAATCCACCATGTTTTTTCCAATCAGAATACAAACTGGAATCATGTTGCGACTTGGTTACCGGATTTCCCTAAAATTGGTGACGTTAGAGAAAAAGTGATCTTTACTGCATCAAATGAAACTGCATGGGAGAAGAAGACGCGAGCGACCGAATCAGATAAGCAAATCAGCAAGTTGCCTGCGAAAAGGAAAAAGATAAGTTTTAAGATTGGTGGTGGTAAGAATGAAATTGAGATGAAGTATGGGTGAAGAATGGGGTCTGTAAAGGCGGGAAGAGAATTTTGTGCCAAATCTATGATGATGACAGATTTTCAAAATGCTAGCTGCAGTAGCAAGAAGAAATTAGATCTGATTAGGTGAACTGGTTGATGACGGACGGTGGAAGAGGGAAGTGTAGGGCAGTGGTTTGGGAGGAGCGTATGGAGGGTAGAAGAAACTCGAAGAAGGAATTGATTTATCAATAGTTTTGAGGCTCTTGAGCAAAGCCTGAAGCGGTGGAACACACGTTTCATAAATAAGAAGGAGATGATGCGGTGAGTTATGTTGTCCGTGTTTTATTGGAAGAAGTGGGAGGTGACACCATCCGTAGGGATGCTGCTAACAAGACACCCCTTAAGACACCCTATAATCATTTTTATAAAAAGTCAACCTATAATCAACTTCTTGTAATCATCTTTTTCGGAAAACAATGCAATTTCAACCAATAAAAATATTTCAAACATTAATTAAGGTTGTCTAAATGGTAAAATAGGGTATCTTTTTAGCCAAACCCCACCTGTAGATATACGTTCTCAATTCAAAGACAAGTGTAAGGGAACATTGGGAAAACAATAAGGAAGAGATTATCTTTACCAAAACCCGGAAAAAAAAGAATCCACCAGCAAAGTATTGTTCAATAAGGAGTTCAACATTAGTCTATATATAATTACATCTATAAATAAGATGGTTCCATCTGTTATTATTATTATTTTTGAACAACGGGTTTAATTGTTAGAAGTTTGTATCATAAATTTCACACATCAGGATTAAAACTCGATACCTCCAATCTAAGAGGCAAAGTCTCTATTAAGTTGGATAGTCTCACATTGGCGTTTCTATCTTTTATTTAGTATGAATAATAATATTTTGTATTATTATTTATAAATCCTGATGTACAAATGAAAGAGTGTGAACATTGTTTTTTTTTTTTTTTTTTTTTTTTTAACTTTATTTTTGATTAACAACAAATAATAGATAAAAGATGTAAAAAAATGGTAAATAAAAGACAAAAAGGAAAATTTCAGAAATCATACTTTTACAAGAAGATTTAGGTGATATATATATATATATATATATATATATATATATATATATATATATATATATATATATATATATATATATATATATATATATTCTGCAGATCTTTTTGGTCTCTTCTGTATGTATCGTGCAGACCACGCGCACACAATAGACTTTGTGGACTGTTTTTTTAAGACTGTAGACCTAAAAAGTTTTACATGTCCTCTTTTTGGCGCATATGTGGATCAGAGTCTTCAAATCTCTTCAGACATCTTCTAGCCTAAAAAAACACATATATCTTTGTTTATTTTTTTAACTTAGATTTATTCCAACTTTATCTATAATAAAAAAATTTGAAAAAAAAATTACAACACTTAAAGAAAAAAAGGTTCAACAACACAATCATGACCTTTGTGATAAATTTATAAATAAATATTAAATTATAATAATTATCGTTGGAGCTATCTATACATATATATGAAAAAAATCATAATATTATCTTATATTTTTTGTGCTAAATTTTACAAAACATAATTTATTGCAGTATTATTCATTTCTTTTAAAAAATATTTATGGTTAGTTTTCTATTGATTTAATTGAAAAAAAAATTGAAAAGTTTAACTTAAAATCAAAGTTTATTATTTTATGTGTTAAACTGTTTTATCCCTAATTGTAATGTTTAGGTATAACTTTACGATCATAGTTTGTTGTTTTTATTTAATATATATATATATATATTAAATAATACCATTTTATTTTCTTTTTTTATACAATAATACGTAAAAATTGATCTACATTTGTTAATTATTTATAATAAAGTTATAAAATTATTTAAAAACTCTTTTAAGTTTTCTAAAAAAATCAATTTTGTTAAATTTTAGTTTATTTTAGTACCACGTAGATGTTAAAAAACAAACAACCTTTTCCTTTCGGGCTGCAGATATTTAATCCACCTCTTCTACTACAAATGTACGTAGATATGATCTGCAGACTGCAAACATTTTACCTCAAAAAGAAACAAACAACACCTTAGTAATCGGCGAAACAAACAACACCTTAGTAATCGACTATATCCGATCCAATCATCAAAATGTAAAGGAATACAAATTAGAAAAAGAAAAAACTAAAAAATTAGAAGGATATTTAATTTTTCCAATAGAAAATTTATTTTGTAATTTTGTTTAATGAATTTAGCCTTTCAAAAATATAATAAAAGAGTTACTTAAAAACTTATTGTGTGCTATTCGTACGGAAGGCGACGGCTAATTCTTTGGTTGTTTAAAAGTCAAAATCATTGACTTCAAATTCCCCATTAACAACGAGTTCTCTCTATTCACGAGTCTCCCATGTCGGCGGCACTTGACCCAGCCATCGCCTCTTCGTCAATTTCTTTTATATTCGTCTCCGGAGACCCAATCAAATTACCCTGAAACTCATAAATGCAAGTCATGAATTTCTTATGAAGGTTACAACGCATCGTGGATTACAAGCAATTCTGTTTAGTCTGTTATGTTGTTGAATTTGAATGGATCTTGTCCTCAGTTATTCAATTGTATGTGTGGGAGGTGTTATCTGATGTGGGGTTTCATCTGCTTTTTCCAATTTTGAAAAAGATCAAGTTTCTTGCCATAAAATTCTTTGTCTCTTCCAATCTTCGAAGGAGGGGTCGCGAGAATCCTGAATTTCTGACGGAAAATTCAACCAATCGCTGTCCGATTTAATCCAAAATATTCAATTGTATCTAGGGGGGTTGTTATTTGATGTTGGGCTTTATCTAATTCTTTCTGTTATTAAAAAGAAAAAAGAAAAAAAAAACAAGTTTGTTGTCCCAAGTTCTCTCTCTCTCTCTCTTTTTTTTTTTTAATCTTAGAAATGGGGGGTTTAGCGATTAGAGATGAGGCAGGAATCGCGAAAAGTTTATGGGTAAAATCGACAAATGAATCTGTATTCGCAATTTATACTCCTTATATATTGTCACTAGCATCTGGGAAGTTGGATTCTGGCTCTTTCCTCCATTGTATATCTCAGGATCTTCGTTTTCTTCAAGCTTCTGCTGAGGCGTAAGTTTGGTAGCTCATTCATATATATATATATATATATATATATATATATATATATATATATATATATATATATATATATATATATATATATATATATATATATAAGTCGTGTATTGATCCACTTCATGTATGTAATTGTTTTGAATTGATGACTTTTTAGTTTAGAGATGGCAGAAGAATGCTCAGATGACGATGACGATAAAACCGTAATTTGTAAGATCAGAAAACGGGTGTTGAAGAAGATGACAATGTTTCGATCAATTGTCCAAGTAGGCGTCTGAATTCCAATGTCTATAGTCTACAAAATCAACAGTATAAAAAGATTTAATTTGATGAATTTAGGTTTGATTGGTATTTATTAATGCAGGAATGGGGCTTTGAACTTCCAACAGGGAATATTTCAGATCGTGCAATGATCAAATATACAGATTTCTTGCTCGCAACAGCATCTGGAAAAGCAGTAGGAGAGAGATTCCCTGGTAAGCTCGCAACTCCATTTGAGAAAACTAAGCTTTCTGCTTATGCCCTTGCTGCCATGGCACCCTCCATGAGGCTTCAATCATTTTTAAGCAAGGAGATACAAGCAGTTCTTGAACCTGATGCAAACATCCATCTTTACAAAAAATGGATCGATAGTCTCTCCTCTCAAAAATACGAGGTTTGTCTCGTCATCCATTCAACTTAATCAATCAAGAAAACTGGAATCTTATATAAATATATATATATATATATATATATATATATATATATATATATATATATATATATATTTTTTTTTTTTTTTTGTTCCACTTTTAGGCTTCAGCATCTCAGATCGAAGAACTGTTGGACAAATTGACCGTGTGTTTGACCGGTGAAGAGCTTCAGTTTGTAGAAACGATCTATCACAAAGCCATGAAGCTTCAAGTAGATTTTTACTCAACTCAACCGATCATTCAGAACACCATAGTACCTTTGTATCGATTTCATGGAACTGAAGAACACAATGTTGTGATATGTAGTGGATTCGACCTGACATGTAGTGCTGTTGATTCATGTGCCCTTTTGGCTGATATTGCTATTATAAAATCATCAAAGACTGTAAACTCGAATGGATATGAGTCCCTTTCAGATGGCACTTTGTTGGATAATCGGGATGTCTGGAGCAGTCTTCATGGTCACTATGTCAGAGAATACGAACAATGTATCGACAGCATCATGGTTAGTGAAAAAGTCATGGAGTTCAACTTTGAAAGCTTGTGTAAAGCACTTGGTGGGTTATCAGATCTAGAAAAGGCAGGAAATTTAAGAGTTTGTAGGTCTGGTGTTTTGAAAGGATTGCATATGGATGACATTAAGTGGGCTGGTGAACACCTTGTTTTTCAAGATGGTTGTGTAGAGTTTTTTAGAGAGATTGAGAAGATGAAAGATGTTGCAGTTGATGCTCATATACTTTCCTACTGTTGGTCTGGTGATCTCATTAGATCTGCCTTTTCCTCTGGTGATTCAGGATTTCCTGATGTGCATTCAAATGAGTTGGTCTTTGAGGAATCAATATCAAGTGGAGAGATCTTGAAGAAGGTGCAATGTCCGATAGAAAAGCTTCAAACTTTTGATGAAATCTGCAAGAAAGGCGGGAGGTTGTCGGTTTACATTGGGGGTTCAGTGGAAGACTTGCTTTGCCTGTTGAAAGCAGATATAGGGATTGTGATCTCACCAAGTGCTAATTTAAAGAGACTTGGAGGTTTATTTGGGTTCTCTTTTGTGCCTTTGTTTTCTGGTTTGGTGAAGAAACAAAGAGAGTTTATTGAAGGCGGGTGTCCATGGAAAGGTCTGTCTGGTACTCTTTACACGGTTTCTAGTTGGGCTGAGATTCATGCTTTCATTTTGGGGTGTATGATCTGATGAAAATGAAGTACATATAAAAAATATATATATATATATATATATATATATATATATATATATATATATATATAATTACCCTAATACAGAATAATAACAGTGATTAGTGATTTGTAGGGTTTATAGCCAGATTATTAGTAATGGCTAGGTTTGAGCCTTGAGTATTTTAAAAAGGTCGCCGCCCTTGGGTATAATTTACAGGTTTGGTTGTGGGATTTGTAGATTTGTGTGCAAGTGTAACAATATTGGAATGATTTTTTGGATTGTAATATGTAAGTAAAGTGG